AATGGCAAGATGGGGAAAACGACGATTTGATTAGATTCTACGCTACTGAAAGCCTTTTTTTAGGTCGGGGGGTGTAAGCCCCGAAAGCCTTTGGTATTTCGGTAGGGCGAGCAGCCCTTTTTTTCAGAAAAAAAAGGTTTGGAACCCTCGATTTGATTCCCAATTGATTTATGTTAAAATTTCCTATTTCTTGTTCCTATTTTCAATGAGATCAAATTTCTTTTTTTTTCGATACAAAAAAATAAAGAACAAATAAATAGTTACCAAATGAACTTATGTCTTTCTTTATTAAAAAAGAAAAGAGGAAATAAGAAATGAGAAAGTTACGGCCCGTTTGGTAACGTTCCTGTTTCTTCATTTTTAATAAAGAAAAATTAATTCTATGGTCCCAACATCTATGAATTCAAGATGAGAAACCAAAATGAGTGGCAGCCAATTTTGTGTTGTTGCACAAAATCAAAGGAGGGGCAGTGGTAGTGTATTGGCAAAACAAGAAGACGAGATCTCGGGATTGTAGTGCATCGTTGGCAACCAAATCTCGTGAGTATTGTGAGGTTTTTCATTCTTGTATTTCCTAGGATCGTATTGTTGTAGTTCATAGAAGCTAGGTGGCTTTGTCGAGACCTCTAGATTTGAGAGATTGTATTGTCCATTATATTTATCCCAGTATTAGTGTAGAACCAGTTGTCACGGAAGACTGGACGTAGCCCATAGTTGGGTGAACCAGTTAAATTTGCTTGAGTTGTTTCTATGTTTTCCCTATTTTTCTCGTATTATTGTGACTGACTTAGTTTTTACTGAAGAACTGTAGAAGAGGAAAATATTTTAGTAAGTAAATTTTCCCAACAATTTTTAATGAAGAAAAATGTATGGCATGATTCCAACGTCCAAGAATTAAAGTATGGTAAAACAACTTTTTTATTTATATTTTGAAACAAATTGGAAATGAGAACAACAAAGGAAAAACTTGTATTGGTGTGAGAATGTTCCCAAAAAAGTATAAAACAAGTAACAAATTTAGTAGTAAAATACTTAGACTTCTTAAGAAAATTTGAAACAAGAAACAAGAAACAAGAACGTTACCAAATGGGCCCTTAGTAACAGCTCCCTCCCCTCACTCTCTCCACATCTCTTCCTTCTCTCTCCTCATATCCGAGAAGAGTTGAGATTATCAGGATTTAATAGATAGTAAACTCCTGAGAGAGAAACTGGCCAAGTGCTATTTATAGAAGAGAACCAATAATTGTAACTGGCTACAAAATTATTGATTTCTTTCTATTGTCTTGACACTTGTCTCAACATAATTGAATACAACAAAAGAGATAAAGATTAGCCGACAAGACAAGTCCTTGACTGACATCTTATCCTTTTGGAATCTACTTTATAAAAAGTAAAGATAAGCGTGGCCGATAGGGGGCATCTTATCTTTTAATAAGTAAGAAAAGAAATGAAGTAAAACGAAAATTATTACAAACTGACAAAATAAAATAAAGACAAAAAGTAAAAGCTGATATGACTGTTTTTGGACTGGAAACTTGCTTGAGAAGTTTGACGAAGTCACCCGGCTTCTTCTGATTTAGCGAGGATTGCGAATTCTGTATATCATCGTAAAGGCTTCTCCGGCGTCTGATTAGGCCGTTCCATCCAGGGTCTTACTCACGACCTCTCGCCTAAACTGCCCAAGGAACACCTTCGATCTTCGACCAGGGTTGCCTTGTGAGATATAGAATCCTCTCAACTTAGTCAATCCTATACGCTAACTGCGCTGCCTCGTGGTTGGTTACTCCACATCAGAAGCTTGCCATCTACTTCATCTGGGTTTCTTCTGCAGTTCCTTCACAAAAACAGACTGGGATAGTGATGATAAGATCAGAATACAATGATCTTATCCAAAAGTTAAAATGAAATTTAAACAAATTAATTTACATAGATTTACAATAGAAAAATTAAATTAGACACTTGAAATATCTAGCTTCAGAATCAGTTGGGCTGTGAATCTAGATATGGATCATTGATATCGTAGCCTTCGAAGGGATCGAAGTCGTCTTCGTCGTCTTCAACATCATTATTGATAGAGGTAGAGGAATCAACGTCCGTCTGAAGGTCGTCTGGATCAGAGATTTGAACCGCGACTGTATTGAGAACTGAGTTGAAGTCGGCTTGAGATCCAGCTCCAGCTAGTGAGCTCATGACGGCGTTTTTGGCTAGAAGGAAGCTCTCGTCTTCTTGCCTCGTCATGTCTTGAAGATGAACATTGGTCTTAAACCAGTTTTTTATCTTTTCAGCTTCTAGGTAGAAATAATCAATTTTTTCCCACCACTTGATGCGTAAAGCTTTGCTCAACGCTTTGAAGTTGCCACTGGGTCCTAGCTGGAAATTCCAGCAAAAGATCCATGGAATTTGGAAATACAAAGCAAATCTAAACGTCTTAGAGAGGGGAGACGAGTAGATACTTTATTGGAAAAGATAGTACGATCTTTGAACTTCAATCGGAAAAATTTCCTCGGGGAGTCCAAAGTACGTCCACCAACTTTGAAACCAATTTGGAAAGTGAGATTTGTAAGCTTGTTTACAAAAAGTCACAAACCAAGAGTGATTGTAGCCTTGAAGCCAGAAAACAACATACCACGCCTTCATGTAGTCGCGATAGTTGTATGTTTGTGGCTGGAAGGTCCTTGTAAGTTTCTTTCCTACAAACATACCCTATTTCCAGGAGGAAGGGGTAAGAATGCGGAAGATTCTGAGTTTTGAATAAATGGTCCTGGAGGGAAAAACACACAAAAAATGATTAGGACAAAAGCTTAGAGGGTTAAAGTGAATAAGATGAAAGATCTATCTCTTATAAATTTAAAATCGGGTCATGAATTGAATTTAGTACATTTAGTCCAGTATATAATCCTAGTAAATGGTCAATTTCAAATGATTATTTGGAAGGAGGTTTATTGAATGTTGATCAAAGATTGAGTATCTTAAGATCTCTATGACCTCTAGAGAGCCTCAAGAACTTCTTAGATAATGTCTGGAATCGACATAATGACAATGATCTTTATGACCATGTGACCAAAGTTTTTGTGTATGAGCTCGTATGGTAAGACATAAGGCTCTAATCTATAGAGATAGGACTCGTCTCAACTGAAACAAGCATGGAGTGGTTGTTTCCATCTATGAAATTCCAGAAGTTTTTTATGAACTCTTTCATAATTCATTTCCTGCTCCTAAGTTGAATTTGTAAACAATTTTCACATACAGATTGTACGTATCAATTGTTGTTGTATATGTTAAAATGAAGTTTGTGTCTATTTTCTGTTGGATTGGTATGGTAACCGTATAGGAATGAATAGAATTTAATGAAACTTTATAAATTTTTAACATGATAGGCCCAATTTAAACAAATAAGTATATTTTTTTACGAACAAATAATTTTACCACCAATTAATAAATAAAAAGGAATACAT